TGCCGGGACGGCCCCTTGACACATTTCTAAGACCTGTTCTGGGGTACCCACCTCCCAGCTTGCCTTTTTACTGCCACGCCCAAGACATGAAATATTGGGCAGAGGAGACCACGTCCTTTCCCCCATGGTTGTCAAAGACAGCTAACCTGTTTAATGTACGACACACATTTTCGTGAATTTTTGTCAAGGTCATTGCTCCTTCCAAAAGTATCCCTTGGTTTTGGGGCAAAAGAAGCCAGAGATAAGAGCATATACTCCAAAATTCAAGAGGAGGTAAAATTAACCTGTGGAGATTATAAATGAACAGTGGTAGCCTCTGGTTGGGGAAGGGAAGTGACGGGAAAGGGGCATGATACAAATTTCTAGAGGTGTGCTATCCTATATGGTAACCACTAGTCACATGTGGCTCTGGGACACTAGTCTGAATTGAGGTGTCCTAAAAGTGTTAAAAGATTTCATTAGGAAAAAAAAAAAAAGGTAAAATACTTCACTAGCAATTTTTGGAAGATTGATTACATGCTGAAATGATACTTTGACTACACTAAGTTAATATATATCATTAGATATATGTTTCCTACTTCTTAAATCTTTTTAAATATGGCTGCTAGAAATCTTTAAATTATGTATGTGGCTCACATTATACTTCTATTGAATGACACTGTTTTAGAGTGGTGGACAAGTTCTGTATCTTGGAGTGTAGAGTCATGTGTATATAGACTTGTTAAAATTAACTGAGTTGCACATTGAAGATTTGTACATTTTACTGTATGTAATTATACCATAAAGCCCAATATCCTTCCCCTACTCAACATAACCTCCCTAAAGGAGTCTACAGCCTTCAAAGGACACAAAAATACAAAGAACCCCCAAGTGGTAAGAGCATCAATAAGGTTTGAGCAAGGTACTCTACATTGATGGAAACTTCCATTTTTAGCAACCTGAATAAAATCGCTGGTTTTGTATGTTTGTGCATGTGTAGAGAAAGCACGCAGAAAATGATTGAGTCCAGTAGACTCAAAAAGACAGAGGATATTTCCAAAAGCCTGCAATACCTGGCGACAGGAAGCATTCATGCTGCAGGTTCTCCCTTGGGCCACTTGCATGGGACCCCCAGGGAAGGCACACAGGAGTCAGGAGTGGGGGCTGATTCAGGACACTTGTCCCTTGATGGGATCACTAAGCTACACACAAGGTCTGGGTCTTAGCTTCCTAGGGTCAAAACCCCTGATGTTTTCTGTTCACTCACAGAGGACAAGGGAGAATCACAGAGCAACACTGCATGCAGGTGTGAAGGCTGCATACTTCAACCACAGCCCTCTTGGATTCAAGGATCAGGTTCAAAGTCCAGTCTCTTTAGGAATCACAAAATGTCTACAGAAATGTAGAGTGCTTCTACAGGAAAATAGGTCTAAGTGGCCTATTTTCCAAAGATACTAAAGCCCAGAAAAGTTGAGTGACTTGACGAAGCCATACTGAGTTAGATAGAAGTGGTAGGGCTTGGACCCATGCTCATCTGACTCCAAGGTGAGAAACACGTGCATGCCAGCCAGGCTCAGAAAATGTTTTGTAAGCCAGAAACACAACTTGTTTATTTAGGAACGGAGGGCAACTGGAAGGATTGCTGCTGGTACCTGTCATGTATCATATTCCCTCATTAAGGCCAACTCCAGAGGCGAAATGACATTCTGTGTATTTGGTTTGCTCAGTAAGAATCAGGAGGTGGGGGGCGGGGCGGGGGGAGGAGCCCTTAATTCCCACACTCAGCATAAAAACAGGCCTGCTGCCTATCCCTGCACTGCGAGCAGCCCCTTGTTGGCTTAGGCAGCTGCTGCTGCCAGGAAGTATCCTTCCTCCTCTCCAGGCAAGGCTGTTTATTAAACTGTGGGCCTTGGGGTCATTGCAGGAATGTGCAAAGCCCTGTTTTCCAAGCAGTACCTGTAAAATAGTTAATCACTGCAACAAGTTGAAGCTCTCCTTGGTACCAGGCTGTGGGTCAAGAATTTTCTTATGTTCCCTCACTAAAGGCTCACAGCAAGAGGACACGTCAGAAAAGTCAAGTTCAACTTCGGTGCCAAAGCTAGGGTAACTAAAACCAATATGTACCATTCACTGACTGCAATGTCCAAGTTTATAGTTTACTTTCTATTTTTACATTTAGAGTGGATGACCCCCTTGCAAAAGGCATAAGGCATATTACCAAATCACTTGTCAATCAGCTTCAGGGAATTATGAAAAGAGTCTATTTTGTGTAATTATTATGGTTTCCATCCAAAATACTTCCTGGCTTAATACAATCCCCTCCTAGAGGGATAGCATTGTATGGTGTCCAATAACGGTCCCACCTAATTACAGCCATCCCCCTGGAGGGCAGTCCACGAAGGCCACTTACTCCTCTGCCCCAGGCCAGCAGCTTCAGGTCTCTGGAGCCCCTGCCCTGACATCACACCTAATCCTGAAAGGCTCGTCACTGTTCTCTCTGTCTTTCCCAGCTCCAAGTGCTCCCAACACCCTGGATCAACAATTTTTCAACCTGCTCCATCTCATGGCATACATCAACTAATTACTAAAATTTCGCGGCATACCCCACCCAAAATCTTTTTTGCTGATCTGACAAAAGAATAGATATAATTTTGATTCATTCACACCAGACAGCTATAGTCATATTGGCTGCTGTCATTTTTTTCATTTGACGATCTAAGGGAAAAGAGGTCCGTGCCCCTGACTGAATAGCCAGGTATCGCATGTTTTAAAAGTTCTCGGAGCAACCGGCTGAACACCGCTGTCCTAGATGGATGCAGCTAGGCCCCCTTTAGAGATCTGGAGGAAGCCAGTTCATCTCAGGTTCATCAAGGAATCAGTGTTGGATTGCTTCTTCCGAGACTCTGAAGCGCCACAGTAGGGACTTCCTTGAGGAAGGGGATGATGTGGTGGCAAGGGGAAGTTGCTGGTGAGCAATGGACAGCTTCTTATTTCCTTCTGCGGAAAAGGCTCTGGACAGGCCTGGCTTTGATGGAGATCCAAGGACTAGATTTGGCAGAGACTACCAGCTTGACAACTGGCACAAGGAGGCCACTGAGAAGGAAGTCCTCACCCACTTTCAGGTCAGTTGAAATTCCTACCCAAACATCCTTTGAAAGTTCTCAGGGACCAGCCCTGCCTCAAAGGAAAGACTGAGAAAAGCAAGCCTTTGTCAATACAGGAAGCAAATGGCACTAGTGATGAACTCACTGTGATTAGGTAATGAGTCAAAGGTCATAAAGCAAAGAGTTAGGGCGTCAGGGCTGTAAGTCTTGATATTTCCTAACAGAACTGGAAAAAACTGGAAATATAATTAATAACAGGCTTGGGTGCTGGGCAGCAAGAAATCAGGCCGTACGGAACCAGATCAGAAAGAGCAAAAAAACAAAAGTCCAAGAGATTTGTGTATCATTTGACTTGAAATGCTGAGTCATGGTCACCTTGATTTATGTTTTTCCTTACTAGACTGCAAGTTTCTGGAGGACTGGGTCCAATGGCTTCCACAGCCACAGCACCCACCAGCCGCTTGACCTGACATACGTTTTAGGAATGTCTGCTGAATGCTTGAGACTCATGAGGGTTTCTGAATGGGAAAGTAGGAGTGGAAGGGATGGGGCAGAATTAGGCCAAAAGATTTGGAAATCTTCTCTCCCTAGGCAAATAGGTATTTTTGTGACACAGAATTTCTCTGAGCCTTTGTGCCCTTATCCTGAAATTGCAAGGCAGTAGCAGGAGGGTGACCTATTTGGTTTACACACACGAGAAGTCAAAGCTCAGAAGTGTTGCCAGATGTCCAGAGTTGGCCTGATTTAGCACCACGAAGCATGTATACTTTGAGGAGGGCAGCTTTCCTTAGAACCCTCACAGTATAAGAGGGACCCAGGGATCCAGAGGCAGGGCCCGGAGGTTAACGAGTAGCACAGTGGTTGAGCTTGCCTAGGGAGGTGCTCAGGAGCTGTGGGGGACAGAGCTGGGGGAGAGCACAGAATCCCATCTACTGACCAGGCTCGAGTTGGGGGTTCCCCAGACAGTTAGGCATAGTGATCTCGAGGCAAGTTCAAAACATTGTGATCTTGGAATTTTGGCCAAAAGAGGGGTTTATGTCTCCCTCCAACTCCCACCACCCAATTTTTATTTATTTTTTCAACCAAACAGCTGTCTCAGATGAGAAGCCTCTTTGGGCGCCTCCTCCCTTTTCCATGCCCAGGCCCAGACTCTGGGACCTGGTGTCCAAAACTGTCCTGATCTCATACTTAGTGCTTGGTCCAGCTGAGTGGCAGGGCAGATTCCATGGTGTCCGGGTTTCCTAAGTGCTGAAGGTAAACACCACCACTGATAACATTCAGTGAGAGCCCAGCTCTGCTTAAGCAACATGCTTTGACATTTGCCATCTGCCAGGAAGGCAGCATCACTTATTTTACTGCTATAGAGGCACAGAGCATCCTCCACCTTCTGGCCCCCATCCCACCCTTTCCACTGAAGACAGAAGAAAATAGGTCCAGCAAGTAGCAAGGATCAAAAGAAGTACTTGTTAGTAGCTAATGAGAAGAGGGGAGGCTGCTGAGTGTAGTGGCCTGGGATGGGCAAGACTGGGCTGAAAATCCACAAGTTTATTCCTGAAGGAGGTCCAGCTCAGAGGCAAGGCCTTGCCCCTGCCCTTCTCCCTCAAGATGGACTGCCAAAGGCCCACGTTTCTGGCGCTCTACGTGCCCATGAACCTAAGAATCTAGAGTCCTACACGAGAACCCAGAGTTAGTGCAGGGTCACTGCCAGCCACAAGCCAAGCCCCAAACTGCAACAGTTAGGCCATTATTCCCTGTTACCTATGTGCTAGGTGCGGGGTACCTACTCCCTCGAGTGCCACCCAGAGGTGCAGCAGCTGCAGGTCTCCCAGCCGGAGTGGGGTCGGCCCCCAAGGAAGCCCTGCAGGAACCACCCCCTCTCCGGAGATCAGCCCGGCCCCTCTTCCCCGGGGCCCGTACCTGAAGGGACGGACGCCTCGCAACCTTGCTTCCTGCCAAACCCGAGAGAGGACGGTGCGTGTCCCTAGCACCCCTGGGGTGCTGGCACACAGCCGCCCAAGGCGCAGCATCTTGACGCGCAGCATCTTCATGCAGACACTTATGGCTCGCTTCGCCAGTGTTCCTACTGGAGAAACTTTTTTTAAAGAGTCGAGGCGGGGCGAGCGCGGATCAGGCGAGGTCGGGTCGCCTCTGCCTATGGGATGTGAAGGACTCGGGGCGGGGGCGGGGGCGGCGGGGAGGGGCGTGGCGAGGCGTGGCGTGGGGAAAGCGGCTCCAAGTCGGGCGATCTTCCCCTGAGTCCCGCCGCCCTCCCCTTCCCCCGCCCCGGAAAGAATGCCCTGATTTCCCTCTAGATCCGAGGGCCCCAAGGCAGATTCCCCTCCCAGCCACCAGGGTCCTGAGTTTGGGGGCGCAAGATCTTGTTGGCTTACGTAGAGAGGAGCCAGTAGTGCTTGAATTAGGGGCTGGTGTTCAGGCACCCTTTCGTGAGAGCGAGACCAATTTTGCCAGCGGGTCACGTGTTGTCACCTCCCCCGTACTCCGCCCCCAGGATTGGGCTCCCAAGGCCTGCCAGGGATTCAGAGGCCAGAGAAGGGGGTGGGGATGGAAGGGCGCCCTGGACAGCAGCAGAGGCCCCACGTGAGCTTCAGAAGGGAGGCCAGTTAGTACCCCCATCTCCGCTGGGGCATCCTCCCATCCCTCTCCCTGGGCCTCAGCCTTCATCCTCCCACCCACGCAGTAAGGTGACCTCAAGGCGCGCTGCAGCCTGTGTTTCACCGTGGCTATCTCCAGACCCTCTTTATGGTCTCCTGAGGCTCGGATGTGCCTGCAGGATAGAGAGGTGACCGCCCATCTCTGGTCTTGGTTGGAAAAGTTGGCACTGGAGCACCAGAGTGGCATGTGTGCCAGGTCTACACTCTCTGTCTGCAGCCTTGATCCCTCTTCCAGAGGAGGAGAGGGAAAACAATAGGGGAAAGGCCCTGGCAGGGCGAGCTCCCTTTTCACGGTCCAGAGGTTGTGATGAGTGCAGGGCTAGAGGGAAGGGACAGCTCAGTGCAGGGTCTGGCCTGAGAAGACCTCTGTCCTTGTCTGGGAACTTTTGCTCAAAAGAGAAGGAGGCTGTGCTGCTCCTCTTCATGATCCTGAGAGTGACCTCCGATCTCCCTGAAACCTGGGCTCCTGGAGGGAGTCTCCATACCTCAAATTGTGTGGGGAAGGAGCAGAGAGGAAGACAGGGGAGTAGAGTGATTGTGAGGAGCTCAGCTTGCAAGCGAGCACCTTCCTGATGACACTAACTCATTAGCTGTGATAGCCCAGCCTAGGCATGTGGGGTGAGAGCGAGCACCTCAAGTTCCAACCTTCCTGGCTGCTCTGCCACTAGCTTGCTGGGTGACCCTGGGCAAGTCGTGGCCCTTCCCTGGGCCTGTGAAGTAAGAGGTGGATACTGATGTTCCAGACCCTTCCACTTACCTTGCCAGTTTGAGGGTGAGAAGGATGAGTTCATCTTTGGACTTTGCTGCATTGTTGGCTCTCCACATAGTGGATTTTTTTTTTTCTGCCTTCTCAGACACACATGGGTGGAATCACAGCCATCAGTTTCAGGATACTTCTCACAAGTCAGACTCATCATGCATGTTATAGCTGGTCCACACAATCACCCTGCAAGGGAAAGGCATGCCTTGGAATTTGTATCTGTTTTAACAGGTGAAGAAACTGAGACTAAGAGGTTTGGTTACTTGCCCAAGGCCAATGTGGATACAGTGAGCACAGGCCAAGGCTCTGCCATACTCACTTTGTGGCTTTGATGAAGTTGTGGAGCTTCGTGAGCCTTAGTTGTCATGTTTAAGACATGTAATATTATCAGCCTCATGCAGAGGGTTGGGGTACAGTACTGGTGGTACTCGACCAGTTGTCAGTGATTGTTAGTTTCTTCCGCCATCCTCTCCTTCCTCCTATGTCTACATCTTGAGACATTCTTCTGTGTTAGGTATTGCAAACCCTTTTTCAGGAGGAGAAATTATTTTTCATCTCTGCAAAGCTGTAAGGATCCTGGTAGACATGGTTCTGTGAGATGGAAAGGCTGAGAGAAAGGATGGTGAAGACGTGACGAGTCTTTGTTTTGGACCATGTTGAACAAAATTCGTGGGTCACTTTGAGGGAGTGGGAAACGGGGCACATGGGCCATCTAGGCCCTTCAACGTTTCTCCCTCTTCCCCCAACCAAATCCATTCCTCATAGCTCCCCAGGGGTCTTTCTGCCTGGACCCAGCACATCTGCTACGTGCTGGGCAGGACCCACACAGTTCATCCACAGTCCCTGTGATTTTGCAAGAGAAAGGACATGGATTGGTCTCCTCTCCCACTCGTCCTCACCGGAACTGAACCCACAACCCAGGCGTAGGTCCTGACCAGGAATCCAATCTGTGACCTTCTAGTCCACAGGATGATGCTATAACCAACTGAGCCATATTGGCCAGGGCTGATTTTTTTAAATATTTATTATCAGCCTATGAAAAAAGTTCAGATGACTTAATTGTACAATAGTTAGGAAACTGTAAATGCTACAAACCCAGAAGTCACACCTGGCTGCAGTTGAGAGGGAGGGGACAGGAGATGGGGAGTGGAGACAAACATCCTTACCTTGTAAGTCAAGATGTCAAGAGACCCTGTCTACCAAGGATGGAACATGAAATAAAGGAGTATGTTATTCAGAGTTACAAAGGCAACCAGTATATATACAAAATAACAATAAAACTATTTAGGATGACTTGTGGAGGAGAAAGTGAAAATCTTTACCTACCAAACAGAAAACCAAGAAATGGCTGAATAAGTATATTGTTTAGAAGTAAATAACAGAAGGAGATAAAACAGAAATGGTTAAAATAGTTGTAAATGGTTCCCTTTGGACTTGAAGAGACATTTCTCCAAAAAAGATATACCAATGGCCAGTAAGCAAATGAAAAGATACTCAACATTACTAGTCATTGGGGAAATGCAAATCCAAAGCACAGATACCACCTCACACCCATTGGGATGGCTATTCGAAAGAACAGAAAACAACAAGTGTGAGTGAGGATGTGAAGAAATTGAAACACTTGCTCACTGTTGGTAGGAATGTAAAATGGTGCAGCTGCTGTGGAAAACAGTATGGCAGGTCCTCAAAAAATTAAAAATAGAATTCACCACATGATCTAGCAATTCCACTTTGGGGTGTGGACACAAAAGAATTGAATGCAGGAACTCAAGCAGACATTTGTACAATTTCCTTAGCAGTATTATTAACAACAGAAGACAAACTGTCCTGGCCAGGTAGCTCAGTTGGTTAAAGCATCAGCCTGAAAAGCCGATGTTGTGGGTTTGATCTCTGGTCAGAGCACATATAAGAATCAACCAGCGAATGCAATGTTTCTTTCTTTCTCCCCTTTCCTCTCTCTAAAATCAATACAAATAAAATAAAAAGAAATAAAGACAGCCTTGACTTGTGTGGCTCAGTGGATTGAGCACTGGCTTGCAGACCAAAATGTTGCCAGTTCGATTCCCAGTCAGGGCACATTCCTGGGTTGCAGGCCAGGTCCCCAGTAGGGAGTGTGCAAGAGGCAACTGATCGATGTTTCTCTCCCTCTCTTTCTCCCTCCTTTGACCTCTCTCTAAAAAAAAAAAAAGAAAAGAAAAGAAAGAAAAGACAAACAACCCATATGTTCTTCAATAAATGAATAACACAGTATGGTATGCAGAGTGGGACAAAAGTAGGTTTTCAGTTGTATGTGAAACCCAGTTTATTCAACTTGTATACATACAATAAAATATTATTCACCCTTTAAAGGAAGAATATTCTGACACATGCTACAACAGGGATGAACCTTGAAAGCATTATACTAAAGTAAAACGAGCCAGATAGAAAAGGACAAATATATTGTGTGACTACACTTACATGAGGTGCCTAGAGTAGTCAAATTCATAGAGACAGGAAGTAGGGGTTGCCAGGAGGGTGACGGGGAACTTCCTGTTGTTGTATGCGTGCAGAGTTTCAGTTTGGGAAAATGAACATGTTCTGGAGATGGCTGGTTGCACAACAATATGAATGCCCTTAACGCTGCTGTGCCTATACACCGAGAATGTTTTAAATAAATTTTACTTATGTCTATTTTACCACAATAACAGAAAATGGTTCTCTAAACAGGTCTAGCTAGAGAGGCATCCTGACTAGCACCATTGATCGCATACAGGGACTAGTGTGTTTTGTGAGGTTTTTGCCGTAAATCAATGAGGGCAAAGGGCAAAAACACAGTCAGCCTTGCCTTTAGATCTAGGGAAAATCTTGCTCTCTTTCTCTCAATGATCTTGAGCAAGTGTTCTCTCATAATTTTTCATAGCTCTGTTGTAATCTACTGTTTCTAAGTAGTATATGAAAAGCATTCCTTTTATTTTTTTTATAAGTTTTTTAAATTGAGTTTTTGAGAAAGAGTGAAACTTTGATTTGTAGTTCCACTTATTTATGCACTCACTGGCTGATTCCTGTATGTGCCCTGACCAGGGATTGAACCCACAACCTTGGTGTTTCGAGATGAAACTCTAACCAAATGAGCTACCCAGCCAGGGCAAAAATGTCCCTTTTGAAGAATTTTCTTCATTGTATGTCTGAGAAGGGAGCAGTGTAATAAGAAACATGGCAGTCATGAGGGAGAGGTGGGAAGAAAGGAGAGGCTGCTGGCAGCCACATAAAGAAGGAGAGGAAGGGAGTTTTAATTTTGAAAGGAGAGATGCCAGTGACCTGGAACATGATGTTTACACTTTGCCAATTAGATCCAATACCAAAAGAAAGCCAACAGTAGCCGATACCAGAATAAAAAAGGTAATAAAAATTGTTCTAAAAATGAATGTTTCTGGTTTTCAAATGGAAAGGGAAAACAAGGAACTTTTCTCAACTGCTGTGTAGAATAAAATTATTTTGATCACAACTAGTAATCGGTGGCAGACACAGGCAGGTGTGGTCTTAAACAAGCAGTACTTTCTTGCTGACAGCCCCAAATTGAAAAACCAAATAAGCTGCAATCCCAGCAGCTGCCACAAGCTGTGAAAGCTTTGCTTTCAGAAAGAATGTGGGACAAAAATCTTTCTTGGGATGATTTCATTTTTAACTTGAGTCAAAGTCAAGAGCTGAAGTTAACTGTAAAGTCTTAGATAAAGACCCAGTGTCTTGATAAATTAGACCAAATCTTATTTATCTTCCTTTCCTTATTCATGGTTTAACAGACATTCATTGAGCTCTGACTTAATACCAGGCGCAATGCTGGGCGCTTAGTCTGGAGATATGAATGAGACAGGACATCTGTCCTCAGGGAGCTCACTGTGCAGTAAAGGACACCAACCCTGAGACTGACAATGGCAGACGATATGGCCAGCGCTGTGGGAGTGGGGGCACAGGGGACAGGCACCTACCGCAGGCGTGTTACAGAAGTTCTCCCATGCCTGAGAAAGGAGTAGTGTATTAGTTTCCTATTACTGCTGGAATAAATTACACAAATTTAGTGGCTTAAACAGCAAAAGTTGATTCTCTTACAGTTCTAGAGATCAGAAGTCTGAAGTGAGTCTTATGGGACTAAAATCAAAGTATTGGCAGGGCTGGTTCCTTCTAGGTGCTCCAGAGGAGATCTATTCTTTTTCTCTTTCAGCTCCAGGGAGTCCTTGGCTTGTGACCACTACACTCTCATCTCTGCCTCTGTAGTTACATTGGGTCACATTGCCTCCTCTTCTATGTCTAAACTCTTTTTCTTTCTTTCTTTCTTTCTTTCTTTCTTTCTTTCTTTCTTTCTTTCTTTCTTTCTTTCTTTCTTTCTTTCTTTCTTTCTTTCCTTCCTTCCTTCCTTCCTTCCTTCCTTCCTTCCTTCCTTCCTTCCTTCCTTCTTTCTTTCTTTCTTTCTTTCTTTCTTTCTTTCTTTCTTTCTTTCTTTCTTTCTTTCTGATTTTATTTATTTTTAGAGAGGGGGGAGGGAGGTAGAAAGAGAGGGAGAAAAACATGGACGTGTGAGACATTAATCGGTTGCCTCTTGCATGCCCCCAACTGGGGATCTGGCCTGCAACCCAGGCATGTGCCCTGACTAAGAACTGAACCAGTGACCTTTCAGTTTGCAGGCCGGCGCTCAATCCACTAAGCCACACCAGCCAGGACCTCTGCCTTTCTCATAAGGACACTTGTGATTGCACTGAGGCACCACCTAGATAATCCTGGGCAATCTCTCCATCTCAAGATCTTTAATTTAATCACATTCTGATTTATTCAGCCACTCCCCTTTTTACTGTAAATGCAGGCTTAACTACATATTAAGGGCCCATACATTTGTATCTGTTTCCAGACTATGTTGTTCCACTGATACCTGCCTATGACAATGCTAGATGTTTTGAATTTTATTAAAAGGTCTAATATCTGGTTGGTCAGGAGGACCCTTGTGGCAATTTTTTTTGAAATTTCATGAAGTGTTCTTGGCAATTCTTGTACATTTATCCTTCCATATCAATTCGATTTTCCCCCTTATATTCATATTAAGATAATTTTTACCTAGTTCTAAAAACAAAACAGGGATCATTTGAGATCTTGTTTTCAAGCATTTGTCATCAGTGTTAGCTCAAATAAACTCATTTTAAAAAAAGAATGAACAGAGCTGTGGCTGGCGTGGCTCAGTGGATTGAGTGCCAGGCTGTGAACCAAAAGGTTGCCAGTTCGATTCCCAGTGCAGGCACATGCTTGGGTTGCAGGCCAGGTCCCCAGCAGGGGGCATATGAGATGCAACTGCACATTGATATTTCTCTCCCTCTCTTTCTCCCTCCCTTCCCCTCTCTAAAAATAAATAAATAAAATCTTTAAAAAAAAGAACAAATCAAAAATCTTGGTAGGACTTCTAATTGTAATTGCTTTAAATTTGACTCTCATTGGGCATGGGCTTATTTACAGAAACATGGTGTATTACTTTACATGTGAAAGTATTTAACGCAAATACACAACTGTGCTTTAAGTATAGAAGAATGGTAAACTATATAAATAGAGATCATTTGTTTTTAAAAGTACTTTGTATACTCCAATCTTCAAACATCCCTGAGTCTGTCTGTATTTCAATCCACCTTTGGCAGTGACGACAAACCACGAAGGGGGCCCAGCTGCCCTCGGAAAGGTAGACCCACGCTGCATAGTGCTATTTGGCTCCTTCTCACATGTCTCTCTGTGGGTCCTTGACACATGTTCCATTTTATTATCCCCATTCTACAGAGGGAGCAACAGAAGTTTGGAGAGGTGGAGCAACAGCTAGTGCCAAGATCACACTAGAACTGGCAGGCCCAAGGTTGGCATGATGCCAAGATTTTATCAAGAACAGCTGCCTCTTATTCTGCTCCTGATCTTTGGCTTCTGAAGCTCCCCCAAACAGTGACAATGCTCAGGCACAAGGTGGCACTTGGCTTGGGGGCTAAAGCACAGGGCCAGGCTATCATTCCCAAGGAAAAAGCTGCCCACAGATGACAGGCTTCACTTTCTCGTGAGTATGCAGGTCGACAGTCTTAGGGACACAAAAAATCTTTCTCAGAGTGAACAGCGGCTGTCAGTCCCTCACTTTGTTGCCTCGCTTCTCTGGGCTGTGTGTCTCTTCTTGTCTGAATCTGAGCAATCCTTCAAAGCCCAACTTAAATGCCACCTCCATCGCAGAGCCTTTTCTGATTTTCCTTCCTTCCTTTCTTTCAATTTATTTATTTTTTAAAGAGGGGAAGGGAGGGAGAAAGTGAGGGAGAAAAACATCAATATGTGGTTGCTTCTCACATGCCCCCTACTGGAGACCTGGTCTGCAACCCAGGCACATGCCCTGGCTGGGAATCAAACCGACAACCCTTCGGTTCACAGGCTGGCACTCAATCCACTGAGCCATACCAGCCAGGGCTCATTTCTCCTTTCTTCCTAGTCTCCTCCTTCCTGCCATGGTGGGTATGACCCACCTTTCTTGAAATGTATTTACTTGTTTGCTGTGACTGTCCTTAAACAATAAACAGATGACCTTTCTGAGCCTCAATTACATCCTTTGTAAAACTGAAATAATATCTGCCATACATGTCTATTGTGATTTAAGAGAAATAATATATGTAAATCACAGTCCTAGGACACAGAATGACATTATTACATATATCCACACGGCCCTGAACATTCACACACAGGTTTTATCTATACATGTTAGAGCCCTTACTCTTCCTACCTTATATAGTAGCTATTTGTGTTGACTGTGAGCTTCTATGGGAAGGGGTTAGAGAAAATAGGGTGTTGTGAAAAGAAACAGGATTTAGAATCAAAAGATTTGGGTCTGCCCCTCAACCAGCTCTATGACAAAGGACAAGGTTTTTCTCCTCCCTGACCTTCTTTCTTCATAAAAGGGAGATACACAATAAAATGTCCCACAGTCTTTTAATGTGCATCATCAGAATAAGATAATGGGTGCTACAGGGCTTTAGAGATTGCCATATGCTAATGTCTTACTACTCAGTTGCTCTTGTCTATTTCCCAAAGCTCAGCACAATGCATATCTTGGGGCAGGAGAGGCATGCTCGAGAATTTATTAAATGAGTAGATCTTTGCACTGACTTCATTTGGACTTCACATTTCCCCTCTGAGATAAGCCTTAATATCCCCATGTCAAAGAAGAGAAAACTGAGGTTTGGAGTGCGTAAGTGCTTCATTCATCCATTCAACAGACACCTGAATGAGCAACTACCATGCATCAGACGCTCAGATACTGGGGATACAAAGACAAAATCCCTGCCCCTCACAGTCCAGAGCGGAGGGCAGGCACATAAAGATAAACATAACACAAGACGGATTATGAATTATAGCTAATATTTATTGGGTTTTTACTAAGTGCCAGTTACTGTAGCCAGCTGTTCTTGTGTTTCATTCACTCAGTCCTTCCCAAACTCTGTCAGCTAGGTAACCATTATTATGCCTGTTTCTTGTGTATTTACAGATTAGGCATGGTGATTGTTTAAGGTTTTTTAAGTCCCAAGGGACAAAGCCAAAATTAATACCCAGTTGGTCTAGAGCCAGAAGCCCCACCTTAGTCACCAAGCTCTACCACCTCTGATACTAAGGCAGAGCACAGGGCATCATCAGAGCCCCAGGAAGGGGCCCCGAACTCAGTCTAGGCTTCACAGGGTGGCTGGGGAGATTTCCCGAAGGACTGGGGGAGTTGGCTAAGCAGAGGTGGATGGGGAAGGTGGGGCCGTTTCAGGAGAGGGAAAAGTGAGGCGGCCACCTGCTGGAGCTCTACATGGCATCCCAGGCAGGGACAGGGCTTATGAGGAGGCTACAAAAGAAGGCAGGACCCAGTCTGGATAGAGGAGTGATCCTAGAGGTAGCTGAGGTTTGAAGGGCCCTGGCTAGATTTTTGGAGACATCCTCTGGGCAGCTGGGTAGAGGTGGATGAGAGGAAGAGAGATTCAGAGTAATCCCAGACCCGAGCTGATGGCGGCCTGGACCAGGTCTGGGGCGGTGAGGAGGGGATAAGACATTCAGAGGTTGAAGTTTGCGGATGGTTGTTTGGGGATTGTTAAATAGAGGAGAGGAAGTACTTTTGAAGGTCACAGTTTCGGCTCCTAACCCAGGGGAATGGGAGTGATCTCATGAGGTCAGTTTTGAATGCAGCCCAGGTCTTCTGGCTCGCATTCCCGTGTCCTCTGGCCTCCTCGCGTGGTCCGCGGCGAGGCGACGGCCGCAGGCGTGCCCATGAGTCACCAGGGAACGCGGAGACCCCACCTCTCTGGTGTTCGTGGCGACTGCAGTGCGCTGCCTTAGGCGCCAGAGGGCGCTTCCTCATCTGCCAAGGCCACTCTGGCCCTGCCCGTCTCAGTGGCCTCGGAAGGTGACGTGGACACGGAAGTGATCGTCGTCGCGGCGGCACCGGTGGGAGCAGGGCGCGGGGATCGGAGTGCGGCTGTCGGGGAGACGGGCGGCTGAGGTTTCGCACCTGGGGCGGCGGAGGACGCAGACGTTGTCGGTTGGGTGCGAGTCCGCTGAGCGGAGGAGTAGCTTCTGAGGCATCTCCTGCAGATCGGAGCCCCGGAGCCAGGACCCGCTCAGCCGGCGTCACCATGACCAAGGCCGGGAGCAAGGGCGGGAATCTCCGCGACAAGCTGGACGGCAACGAGCTGGACCTGAGCCTCAGCGACCTGAATGAGGTCCCGGTCAAGGAGCTGGTCAGTACAGTCATGCGAGGCCCAGGCGTCCACCCGCGACTGGTGCTGGCCCCTGCGTGGGCTGCCTCCTTTCTCATGCCTATTTTCACGTCTTAAAATAAGGTGGGGGAGAGTGGGACTAAGTCCCTGGGGAGGCCGCGTCCGGTCCCAGCGTTCTTCTCGGGATGTACACGTGTCACTTTGGCCCAGTTCCAAAAGAAGGGGCCGGTGGGAGCTGCTTGTCTGGAATTGGGCTTTGTGCAGATCGAGAGTGAATCTCCTCCCCCCGCCCCATTTGAGGTTATCTCAACGGCGCCCATCTCGGTGCTCGACCCCAAGTAGGCGCCCACGGAGCGGTTGCTGGGTGTATTCAGAGAATGAATGAACAAATGAATGAATGACTGGGTCCTAAGAAGTAAACCGGGGTGTGGCCCAGAACCGGGCTTTCCTAGGAAGCCACCGTTGCCGGTTGGCCTCCTCAGGCAGGAGGCGTCCTTCCTTGAAGAATGTGGGATCTCAGTGCTTGGTTGGCAAGGTGTCTTGCTTACTAGGCTGAAACTGACCAGAATCCCAGTTCCATCCCTCCAACCCCTCTACTCCCACAATCCCACCCAGGAAACTGAGGCCCGAGCTCCCTGGGGGGTTACACAACTAGTTGTCAAAGTGGAGTGAGATCGTTCATCCCTGTTTTTCCTAGCTGGTTCCCCGCCTGTGCCCTCCTCGCTGGCCTCACTTCGGATGAGGTAGACCTTCCTCACTGCCTTTGGCACTTGTTCCAGTCTTCCCTCCGCCTTGGCTGTGTAGTATGGAGGTTAGCAGTGGATTCCCAGTTAAGACATCCACTCCATTGCTTAAGGACTGAGTTTCTTTGGCAAGCTAGTTAACTTTATGCCTAGATTTCCTCATTTATAAAATGATGGTAATAGTTCTCCTCTCATAGAGGTTGTGAGGATTCATTAAGATTGTAATGTGACATATTTGGCAGGTGGCAAGCGCTGATACATGGAGCTCTTGCAATGACTTTCTTGCCACTGTTGTATCTAAAACATTTTTAGGTGGTCAGACTTTATTCCTGGGACTTTCTGGCAATTGGAAAGTGTAGGTTGGCCCAGGGTCCTTAACTGAATAGTTGGCTTCTTCCCCACCCCAGGAGGGTGGCCAGCCTTGTTCCCACGTGGCCTTAGGACTCTGTCTGAAGCCGCTTACTCGAGGCATCTCGTCAGCACAGCACTGCCCCTTGCTAGAAGTCTGTCAGTTTTGCTGAGCTCCTTCAGTCTTGAACACCAGGGAAAATGGAGATGGGCCAAGAGGGCTTTGTCTTCACTCTGATATTCATTCATTTATTCATTCATTCAGTCATGAATTAGCCAACATATATATGGAGTGCCTACAAGGTCTGAACTAGGGCATATGGAAATTGCAAAGCTATATTACGTACAGTCCCTGCCCTAAAATCTAGTAAGGAAGGGTCCTAAAGTAAATATTAGAAGTGCTAGGGAGGATTTCTAAGAATCTGTTTTCTTTCCTTGGATGTTCTACAGCCAAACCCCTACTCCTTGCATTCTTCCCTTGGTTGTGGTTGACTGGCTCATTTTCTGTCTCGTATCCCTAGGAACATTATACTTTAGTGCTTTTTTTTTTTAAGGGCCCTCTCTAATCATGGGAACTGATTAAATACTTCCTTAGCAGATGTCACTGAATCATTCCATGTGTTGACTTGACATTTTGTTCTCATTCCTTTTCCTAGGCTGCCCTTCCAAAGGCCACCATACTGGATCTGTCCTGCAATAAGCTGACTACTCTACCGGTAAGACTGGCAAGCAAGCTCGATTCCTTCTAGAGCCCCGATGCTTCATCTTCCTGTTTGGGGGAGTTGTGTCATAAGGCATAATTTTAGGATATGCCTGTAGGCAGGCTTCAATTATACCTGAATGTGCTGGGGGTAAAGTGGGATGGTTCGTCTCAGTGGGAAGGGAAGCGAAAGTAGGGGCCTCAGTCTTTAGAATAGTGGGGAGGTCAGGCAACGGAAAACCAAAGTCAATGACAGGATGTTGGCTGAGTCACTTAGTGGGCTCATCTTTCTTTCTGCCTTATTTTATTCTTTGAAAACTAGTTTACCTCCCTGTTGCGTAGAGGAGGCTGGAGACCTTCATAAATTGCTCTGCATTTCAGGGAGAAAGCTGTTTCTAAACAGCCTCCTTGTGCATCATTTGATGAGGAACAGGAAAAAGTGTGATTTTTATGGGGCTTCTGTATCATTATCCTTTTGATCTTTAATTCCTTGAGATACTTTTTTGTTCGGCACATTCAACCTATGGTCAAATCCTTTGGATTTTTCTTGTACCAACTCTCCTTTTGCTCCACCCGTGTAGGTGCTGGAGCCATTCATCCCATGAGCCTCTCCTGCGTAACAGATGCTCTCTCCTCCATAGCCTTGCTCCTTCGCAGTCAGGCCTAAGTTTGTCGTCATTGTTGCCTTTCCCACTCATTACCCTGGCCAAGTCACTGCTTGCCATTCTCTGCTGGGCTGTGGCTCAGGAAGTGAGTCTCAGAAGTGGGTGGTTCCTTCCCTGGGTCATTAGTCCACTCTCAGTATTCACCTGGACCGCACTCACTGTCTTCGCGTCGTCCTGCAGCTAATACTGAAAAAGGCATCTGAGATCCCACTTCTTCCAGGAAGTATTTTGTGCCTAATCAAAGAAGGGCAGCAAATCCTTGCCACCTGACACCTGCTCGATTTCCTCGTTTATAAAATGGTGATAATAGTTCTCATCTCATAGAGGTTGTGAGGATTCATTGAGATTGTAATGTGACATATTTGGCAGGTGGCAAGCGCTGATACATGGAGCTGCTGCAATGGCTTTCTTGCCACTGTCGTATCTAAAACATTTTTAGGTGGTCTGTCAGATGGCCACTCAGCACTCCTAAGTGTACTTTTCAGACCGCGTTCAGTTGTCTTCCCTTCCTCTGAAGTGCAGATACCCTGGGGTAGATCCCCAGGCGTTTGTAAGTCCCCAGAGATCACGCGCAGTGCCTCGTTAGCCGAAATGGGAACGCCACTTCAGATTGGTGCTGAGAAAGGCTTCATGACAAGAGGGATGTTTTGACCTGCGCTGAAGAAGAGCCAGGGTTTGGGGAGGGTGGGCCTCAGCCCATTCAGTCGGTCATGTGAAGAACGCTCAGGGGCACCTGTGCTAGGAGCTAGAAAAATAAGAATAACACTGGTTATTCAAGGGGTGCTTGATCTTTTAGGAAAATGGTTGGTCTCCCTGCGTTTTGGCGGCTCCTATGGAATGGGGGCGTGGGAGAACAGAACGGGTCCCCAGTCACGGCAGGAACAATGCGGAGGATGGGTTAGAGGGAGAGCTGCGGCTGGAGGAGCCCACGCTTAATCCGTGCCCACTTTTTGCTCAGCCCTCCCGCATATACATCTCACTACTTACCACCAAGAGCGATGCTTGTGTCCATTTTCATTTGAGGTAGAATAGCTGGTAAAATGTAGAGTCGGGATTTGCACACAGATGCCTCTGACTTGGGGCGTCCTGGACTGTTCTGTCCAGGCACGTGGGCCCCGGGCTTAGGTGTTCTCTCTTTGGGTCCTAGTCGGACTTCTGTGGCCTCACACACCTGGTGAAGCTGGACCTGAGCAAGAACAAACTGCAGCAACTGCCGGCTGACTTTGGCCGTCTGGTCAACCTCCAGCACCTGGACCTCCTCAACAACAGACTGGTCACCCTGCCTGTCAGCTTCGCTCAGCTCAAGGTAATAATTCATGAACTAATGTTTCACGGCCAGGTGTGGCTAAGGGCTCAGGGACTCAGGGAACGTGGCTTTGAAAAAAGCTGACTGAGACAGGTGCTGCCACATGGCTTTCCCTGCAGCTGGGACACAGAGGGGCTCTCTTCCTACTTGCTTTGTTTCACTTGGAGGGACTGTCTGTGTGAACTTAGGCTGAGCCAGCCTCTCTGTCCCTTTAGAGCCTGAAGTGGCTGGACCTGAAGGATAACCCCCTGGATCCTGTCCTGGCCAAAGTGGCAGGGGACTGCTTGGATGAGAAGCAGTGTAAGCAGTGCGCCAGCAAGGTAAGCGCGGAGCTCCCCGGGGTCTCCTCCACGTACTCTCCTGGGACTTGCCTCTGGCTCCTCCCCTTTTCCCTCCGGAGGCGCCCGTAGCTGTGTGTTGATTAAAGCACTAAAGTCTCAGTGATTTACGTCTGTCCTAAACCAGGCAAGCAAAGGGTCTTTTGTCTCTATGTTTACTTTGCCAGTAGTAGAACAGTACTATCTCTGCTCTACTGCAGGACTTCAGTTCTTAAAAAAACCAGGACCTTCCGTGATCCAGCATTTCTCTGTCAAGTGTTGTTTGAATGGGACAAGATGGTTTTGGGCCGTGGCCTTTCTGAGTCACAGTTATTGTAGGAATTTTGATAATAAAGGTGTTGGTTAACATTTGTGAGTTTATAGCTATAAACAGACATATCCTTTGCAGATCTGGCATTTGATTTCAGTGGAACCATCTGACATAGTGAGGAAATAAAGGCAGCATGAAGGACAGACATTGCCAATAACCTAGAAGATGCCTCACATGGCCCTTAAGAACAGCACTATACCCATCTCTCAAAAACTCCCAACTATAGTCATTTTTTTCTCGCCAGCTTTAGAATGGATTGCTGCTGCTTCAGCTGAGCACCAGACGACTTTTGCTATGTTTAGGGGGAATGGTGAACAAAAAAGACTTAACTTTAAATCTAGAATTAATGTAAGTGGAAAGTGTGTAAGATGGGTCTCTGTATGACTCTCAAGTATAATGGCCTTTCTTTTCCTACCATTAGCCCAGGGCTTCTTAGATAGTCCCATCCTCTGTACCACCCATTGTTACAAGAAACCGACAACAAAGTCAAGATAGCCAAGTAGCCAAAGCAACAGTTTGCCCTCAGCTGAGAACAGTACAGGCGATCAGTAAAATCCTGTTTTGAAAACATGGTGCTTTGGGAGCGATGTTTGTTTCAAAGACCAACAGCATCTGCCGCGGACTGCTCTCCCTTAGTCCTGCGGGCTCTATGTGTTTCATAACCCTCATAACCCTGGGAAGTGGGTATTCATATCTCTGGCATGAGAAACCCTCGTTGTGCACATGCCTTTCATTTGTCCATTTATTCATTCAACAATACATTGGACCATATGAAATTGCCAGTATTTTATAGTTTGTGACTTATAAAAATAGTTTTCATTGAGCGCGGAAGTCTTTAGTAGTACTGACACATATCTTCCAGACACAGCTCGGTCCAGATAGCGCAGTGCATTGTGGATGCGGCAAGCACTGCTGCCCCTGAGCTGTCTCCTGCAGCCACCTTCAGGCTCCACAGGGGGGTGGCGTCGGTCAGTCAGAGTGAGGTCGCTTGTCTCCAGGAGTTAGTTTAGGTTTCATCCCGTGTGTTCATGGCTTAGTTATAGTAACTGATCAGTTTGACACATCCTAAAGCATCTTTTAAAAATAATTTGTTAGTTCAATGGTATTCATCAAGCACTTAATGTTTGCAGTGGACTGGGATAGGTAGACAAAATCTACCCTTTAGGGCGTATAGTCCAGATTAGAGGAGTCTTCCCCCATTTCTGAACTTGCTGTGTTTTCAGGTAAGTAACTCCTGATGTAGGGGTACGAGGGATGTCTCTTAAACCTCCCAGCTTTTTATGTAGCCAGCCATACACTCCCTAAAACCAGCTGGATGGTTGGAGTTTATTTAAAATTCAGAGTTCAGGGTGACACAGGGACTTTGAACTTGGGCTGCCTGTCTCCATCATGCTTTACCTTCCTCCAGACCCTGTAATTCCTTGCTGAGAGGCCAATTTTTAGGAAGCTTGATTCCCTTCGAGAGGTTAGACAGGAGAGGGTTTCTGTGGTTTCCTACCAGGCTCTGAGAGGGAGCTGCTTTTGCAGGTCTGCCTCTGAACCCTCTCGTGATGGGTGAGTGCATGTCTGAAGTTTCCACAAAGTAAAATGATTCCGTGTAACTACCTGTCTGTCCTGTAGGATGTCTAGTGCAGTGGTGAAACACAGTCCATTTGCTATCCTAATTTAAAATAGTTTAGGTTTTCCTCTCTTTTTCATTGATGCAGTAAAGAAGATGAATTTAAAAAAAGCAATAGGACTTATTGAGTACATATAATGCCAGGGCAGCTAGTTTTGTTAGGCAGCTAGTGCAAGTTATGGAATTTAATCTTCACAGTAGGCTAGAGAAGCCTTATCTCTGTTCTTCAGATGAGAAAATTGGCTCAGAAAGTTTAAGCCACTTACTAAGGTCACACTGTTAGTAAGTGGGAGAGTCAGGATTGTGTTGTGTTTCAGTGTGTCCTCTACATCCAAGGAATACCAGCTTCTAATTCTAAAAAATACAAACAGACCTTAAAAAAAAATTTTAAAAAAGGCCGTTTACCTCCTCCCCTATCCATGCCCTTTGTGAAAATCTCTGAGGTTGTTTTAGTCAGAGGCCAACCGCGACGGAGCTGACGGGGATTCGAGGGGCTCAGGGCACCAGTGGGGCATGTGGTGTTTGGGCAGATGGCCCCTTCCCTGTCCCCTATGGCTCTCCAGCCTCTGCCTGAGGGGGTGGCATGGGCTCTGGCCTGGGAACTCAGAAGACCTGAACTCCCAGCTGGGCTGCTTTCTAGCCGTGCGAGGGGGCAGTTCGCTCTATCAGAATCTTGGTTTTCTTCCTTTTGAAATGGGAATCCAGTCAGTTGTTCATCAAACATGTATGGAGTGCCTATAATGAGCTAAGTTCTGTGCTTGCCGACAGGCAGGACAATAGTCCCTACACTTAGAAGCTCAACCTTACAACTGAGCTAGATAAGAAGACTCCCCAAGACAGGGGGTGGGGTGCGGGGGAAACCTGAGGCAGCCAAAGGAGGAAGGTCAGGAAAGCATCTTGGGGGAACTGGTGTCCCTGCTTATCACAGAGTAGTCCCTGCTTGTCACAGAGTTGCTGGGAGAACTATATGAAATCGTGCACGTCAGAGACTCTAAATGGCAGGGTTTGTACAGATTCCAGTTGTCATTGTGTTCGCAAACTTTTTTCCTGACAGCTGTAGTGAACTAGGCTCATAGACCCTTCTCCAAGAGTTCGCACTAAGTTAGGCTGCAGAGAGGATTAACTCCAGTAGCCCTGCACCGCTCCCAGGGCCCGCGGTGATCTGGGGTCCCGAGAAGAGCAGCTTGCTCTGAGTAAACGTGTCGCTTTATGCTCCTGCTTGGAGTAGTTGAGCGCCCTCCTCTGCCTTTGCAGGTGTTACAGCACATGAAGTCGGTGCAGGCGGACCAGGAACGAGAGAGGCAGCGGCGGCTGGAAGTAGAACGAGGTAGGTGGCCGTCCCTTCTCTAGTCATCTCCCGGTCCTGATCCCAGCACCTGGTTCTGCTTCAGGAGCTGGAATCCAGCAGCGGAGCTGTGCAGAGCAGTGGGGAACAGTGCGGTGGCAGACAGCATTCTCTTTGTCTGATGAACCTCTCTCCAGTCCTGGTTTCTCCACGGAGCTTCTAAGCCATGTTCAGCTGCTTGTCTCCCTGCTCGCTTAGAGAATTAATAGGCATCTCAAAATAAACATGGCTAAAACAGACCCCTTTCAGCCCCTCCCAGTGTTCTCCAGGATAGGAAATCACTATCCCTATAGCCACTCAAATGAGAGATTAGAAGGCTGTCCGTGGGTCCTTTCTCCTGTTACTCCTATATCCACTCTGCCAACATGTCCCGTATGTGACTATTTTTCCACCTCCAGTGCTACCGCAGCAATCGAGCCTCCGTCCCGTGGACTGCCATAGTACCTCCTCACACAGCGTCCTGTCTCCATACTTGTGCCCGCTCTGCAAAGTCATTCTCCACACAACAGGCAGAGAGAGCTTTTCAGAACAAATCAATTATGCTGCTGGTTGCTTAAAACCCTTTAACGGCTTCCAGTTGAACTTAGAATGAAACTCAAACGCAGCAGCAGGGCTGACAAGGCCTGCCACGGCCCAGGCCTTCTTACTTCTCCCGCCGTGTTCCACACGCACACAGAGAATACAGTTAACTTCAGCCACACAAGCCTCTGCCGTCGCTCAAACGCACACAGCCGGTCTCACCTTTGGGGCTTTGCTTGGTTTCCTTTTCCCGCAGATCTTTCCACGGTTGGGGGTTGGTTTCGGGTAATTCCTCATGTCTCTCCTCAGATGTTGCCTTTCGTTAACCTTAACCCTTTCTGAACCACCCAAATTAGAATGGCTGTCCCACGTGTCCCACCTGTCATTCTCCATCACATCTCTTATTTCCTTTGGCACACATCACTGTCTTTTTCAGTATTTGTTCACTTGTTTATCTCCTTCTCTAGAAAGTAGTTGACTTAGGCACTAGAACCTGGCTTGTCTTCACTGCTGTATCTCCAATACTTAGAACAAGACCTGGCACACTGGCGCTCTGGCGCCTGGCTGGCTGACTCCGGAGGCCCTTACCGGAGGGCCCGTGTGGTTAGAGGACGAATGTATGTGGCACCGATGGCAGGCAGTCCCTAAGATCAGAGCTCCCAGTTATGACCACACCTAGACGTGCGTGGCTACCGTGACGCCCGTGTTTACTCTGACCACTGCTGCTTTTACTTCTTGGCGGCATGTTCTCTTGAGGCTGAGTGTAGTGTGTTCTTGGCATTCTCAGTGCCCAGCTGGAACTGAGAGCTTGTTTGTTCATAGGGAAGCAGTGGAAAGCTACAGTACTTATAGTGCTACTATTCAGCTACATCGTGGTTCAAATAGGCTTTTAAGCCCTAAAAGGACATTTAACCACCATTTGTGACCTCCTGGCTTTGGAAAAATGTACTTCAGATTTCCACATAACTAATTTGGAAATGCATTTTTAGAACCCAATAATTTGTAAGTGGGGTACTGCATGTAAACATCCTCGAGCTGTGAAGTAAATCAGAACGAGTTAAGTCTAGACATTACAAACTATCAGTCTCGCTTTTTCAGAAAAACATTTCCATCATCTCTAACCCTGAACCTGAGTGCTCACCTTCTCTTCTTACTTGCCTTCCTCAAGCCACACTCCTTTCCAAAGCTTGAGGAGATTGGAATCCCACTGACTCAACACCTCTGTTGTTCCTTCTCCTCAGAGCTGAGCTGTATGAGGCTGTCAATTGCTGTGCTTTCTGAATCAGTATCTGGTTCTAGAGGAGGACCCAACCCATCACCCATGCCTTTCTTATGCCCCTCCTGTTACCTCACCCGTACTCTCTAATCTCTCTGCAACGTGTGGCTAGAAACCTCTTAATGAGTCCATTCAGTGAACTCTGAGAGCAGTCTATTATTTTGCAGAGAGGGCAGAAACACAGCTCTTTCCTTTTATGTATCGTTTGTGGTCCATGGCGTAGGGAAAAGGAGGCTGAATCCATACTTTTAATCATGCAGGAAAGCACATTGGAAGGTGTGGGGAGAGAAACCATTTTGGGGTATATTTTCTTGTAGAGGCTGAGAAGAAGCGGGAGGCCAAGCAGCGAGCCAAGGAGGCTCAGGAGCGGGAACTGCGGAAGCGGGAGAAGGCAGAAGAGAAGGAGCGCCGGAGAAAGGAGTACGATGCCCTCAAAGCATCCAAACGTGAGCAGGAGAAGAAACCTAAGAAGGAAACAAATCAGGCCCCGAGTAAGTTTTCCCTCAGCTCTAAGACTGCACCAGGGTGCAGTGGGGAGACTCGTGTATGTGTTCGGACATGGATGAGCGAGTGGGCTTGCAGACCTTAGGTACAGTAAACCCTATGGCCTGGGAGTACCTCAGAGGGTTTGCTTACAAGGGACGTGGGACTCTCCAAGGGAGCAAGTGTCCGACTGGCTTGTTTCCCCAGAGCCACGTGTGCAGGTGTTTTGGTCAGATGTGGCTGAGAGCATTATCAGAACAGGGAGTTACACTGTTTTGTAAGAGTTAGAGTCTAAAATCACTGAGAAAGGTGAAGGTTGCATATGGTCACATGACCCTTAAAAGTCCGTCCCATCATCTGTGAAGTACACTGGGTGTGTTTCGAGTGCATGGTGCTGTCTCAGTAAAGCCAGCACTGCCTATAGTTTTCTTTCCAAGTTGGAACAGATCACTCTTTTTTGCTTGAACACCAGGGGAGTCATTTGGCCTGTGTTCAGGGAGCCATGTTGTATAAAAAACACATATTAGTGTTTCACCTGAGTGTGTCCAGTTGCATTTGTGCACTGATGTGGCTCCACGTAGTGGAATCGTATACCCTCTGGGCCAAAGGGGGCCCCAGAGGGAGTCACCTGAGAGGGGGGTGCTCTGGAGGGCCTGCGGCCCTGTCCCTGCTCCCTTGCCCTCACTGGCCTTCAGCAAGTTGCCTGACCTCACAGTCTTTTCATTTTCTTGTGTAAAGTGAGGATCATTCGTCCTTACAGAGTAGTGATAAGGTTACGTGAGGAAATCCGTGACAGGATCATGAATTCTTGGCATGTGGGTGCTCAGTCAGGTTTTTAAAAACTTTGCCTGAAAATCTCAAAACTATTTTTTCTAATTATAAATGTAATAAACGTGTTCATTGCAGAGAACTTAGAAAAGTTATCTCTATATATATCAGAAAATGGCAACCACCTCTAATCCCCCATTCTCCGCAGTAATCACTGTTAACAATACGGAATAACCTCCCAGGCTTGTTTTCTCTATGCATCTTACACAGGGTGGGGCAAAAGTAGGTTTACAGTTGTTCATATGGAAAATAATGTAACAATAATACTACAAGAATAAGCTGTGTTTTGCGTACTCACAAGTGTAAACCTACTTTTGCCCCATCCTGTATAATAACAACAATAAATCTCAAGTGTTTCCCAAAGTGGGCAGCACTCTGCCTGCGCTCGATGCCTCCTGACAAACCCCTTTCCCAATCCCAAGGGGACTGGATCATCACCATGTTTTCAAGAACTTTGGACCCTGGAAACTGTATGCAATGTGAGATGTCCAGAACGAGTTCCAGTTTTGAATGTCTCCCTAGAGATCCAATGAGAAGGCATTTATATTTGTCTCCACATAGCATAGTTTTTAAGAGCTCAGATATTCTTAAAACAGTGTTCCCTTCAGGCCTGGGGAGTTTTCATTACAGAAGAGGGGTGTACGTGAATCTGCATGGAAGAGACTAGCAGTGATTGGTAGAGGGTGTGTGTCTCCTCAGACTGACTGAACTTTTTTGTCTACTGTGACTCTGTCACTCCAGAATCCAAGTCCGGCTCTCGGTCCCGTAAGCCACCACCCCGGAAACACACCCGGTCCTGGGCTGTGCTGAAGCTGCTGCTGCTGCTGCTGCTGTGTGTGGCTGGTGGGCTGCTGGTTTGCCGGGTGACAGAGCTGCAACAGCAGCCCGTCTGCACCAGCGTGAACACCATCTACGATAATGCGGTTCAGGGTCTGCGCAGCCACCATATCCTCCAGTGGGTCCTGCAGACCGATTCTCAGCAGTGAGCTTGTCCTCAACACCTGCTGCCTCCCGGCCTTGGAGCTTGGATTCCTATGGAATTGGGTTCTGCTGGACACAACCTCTTTTTAGCATCAGACCTACCTGCCGTCATTAAATGGCTGCTGATTGGTACTTGAGACCTCCTCCTTGTAGGACTTCTTTGTTCCTTAGTCAGGGTTCCCTGGTGGAATAAGAAGTGGAAGGTGGGGAGAGAAAAAAACCTGCATGCCTAAAGGAATAGGCTTGGGGGTGGGGAGAGGAAAAAAAAACAGAGCCTTCCTAGTTGTTATACAAAGCCATGTAAAGGCAAGGGTCATGCCTACAATGTGGTCAGCTGTCACTACATTTATACTTTTGTATGTCACAAACCCTTTCTTTCATTCCTCCCTGGGTAGCCAGGGCAGATCAGGAGGCAGTGGGTTGTTGTTGGGGACTAGGGGAACACCATACTCAGCAAATCTAGCCTGAATCGGATAGGAGGGGCATATCTATTTTTCTTAAGGGTCTCAGGCATTCAGACATTTCCATGACCATACAAAACCTCAGGCTCAGAAGGGGACTTTAAGGCTATCCAGTCCAGTAGAACACTTGCTGATGAGGAACTTGAGGCCTTCCATGACTTGCTTATGGTCTCCCAGTTAGTTTGGGAGAGCTGGACTTCTACTCTGGTATCCCTTTTTTGTTTCCCGTTATTTTGCTTTATCATGTCCTGAGAGAAGGCAACTCATACCAGAACTGAGTATCTCAGCCGGAATATGGAATCTTTCATTTAGACAGATTCATGACCCACAAGTAGAATTCTCATAGCCATGAGGGTCTTGGACAGCTCCTGTGGAGTCCTGCCCCTAGTTATGTGGCTTCCATAAAATGCCTCGATTTTAGAGCATTAACTCTCCCCCATTGCCAGTAAACAAGAAGGCAGACCTTTGCAAACCACACTATGACAGCTGTTAGTAGTTGGTCTGACTAAATACCTCAAAGGCGACCTGAAAACTCAAGTGTCAGAGACTGAGGTTTACTGAGGTAGAGCTATACTTAGGCAGTGAAGGAATCAGGTAGCATCATGGCATTTAAAAGTGGCTGGGAACTGTAATGACTAGCACAAGTGAGGGAAGAACTGCCACTCCCTTGTCTGCCAGAGTTAAATGTTTGCTTGCTTAATGGCCTCCTTTGCTTCATCTTTGACAACAGCTGGATGAAGGGATCAGAAATGGCCATGTCATGGTGCTTATTCACTGAAATCTGATTGCAAGCTCCTTGCCTCTTGCCCAGGAGAGCAAGAACCTGTTATCCAGAGATGAAGAGGATGGGGTCCAGCTTTTAAGCCACAGTGGCCCAACTGGATAGGACTGCCACTTGTGACTGTCCTGATAGTGGACGAAATTACTTTCCTCCCCGGAGGATAGCTCTGCTGCGTAGGCCCACACTTTACTTGGTATCACTACACATTCCTTTAGTCTTCCTCCAAGCTCCAGAGCCATTGGTACAAATGCTTTATTGAAATTAACCACATAGTACATAAAATAAGACAGAGAGTACAGAAGTCGGCATTAGTGATCAGACCCGTTCCCTGGCTGGTTGAGGCAGCCTCAGTGGGTCAAAGGCTGGAGCACGCCCAGCCTAGTAAAACCAATCCACCGAGGGCAGTTCACTCATGATCTCTAGATCTGATGATGAGGTTCTTTTGGATTTGTACAACTATTAAACATGTGTCTGAGTAGTCTGTCTGTGTTCCTTTGTGTTTGGAGAGCTGGGTAGGGCAGGGGCTGGGGTCGGGGGGGGGGCGCTCGTGCATGGCCGCTGATTTTTGCCAGGAGAGGGGCACTGAACGCTGTTGAAGGTAAATGCAAATATCTCAGCCAGTCGACAGGAAGGGGGTCTTTCAGAGATAACACCACCCAGGAGTCTGCTGTGGACCTGACCCAGGCTTGTGCTACAGGAAGCACTTCTAGTCTCTTCACTGTAGTCATGTCCCGAGGCGGGTGAGGTGGAATCTCCAGCTTTTCATCTCGTCCCTGAGGGCTAGCTTTAGTCTGCACTGTCTAAAGAGAGGTCTGGCTGCAATGTGGTCATCTGAAGGTAGATTCGCCTGGACAGCTCTGGTCCAACACGCCGGGAGGTGGATGTCACGCCTTCCCCGCGGCGCACCTGTATGTCTGCAAGCAGGTTCTGGCGTTCTTGCTCTGAAAAACACTGCCTATAAGCCTGAAAGTGGAAAATGCTCTCTCAATACCGCACCATCCACAGTCATCCCTCCCCTGTGAACAAGGGTGCGGCGAGCTTGGGTCAGGGAATGAGAACATATCCTCCCACCCTGGGCCAGGGTTAGCTCAGATCTCAGCAGACCTGCACTGTTGACTGGCAAGGCATTCTTGGGCCCTCACAAACGCTACCCATGAAAACTCCACGGGGCTCCCGCTAAGGCCACAGGGCACTGGGCAGCGGCCCCCGGAGCAGCATACCCGGACCAGGAGTTGTGGGGAGGGATAGGCGGCCACAATAGCACTGGCCGTTTCCTGGCTGACGCGGTTCAGCTGCTGAATCTGTCTCCTCCAGACCTGAGCAAGTCCCCTGCCAACACGGTCCACCTTTGCCCCTGCAGCCCAGTCACTCTCCAGGCAGAAGGAGAAACTGGTTTGATCTCGGAGTTTCCTGTAAACAGCACAGATGAAGAGCTGTGAGTCACTGGTTACTTTCCTGCAGTTCTCCCCTTAACTGGGAACTTAAACCCCTCCCTCCAATGACCTTGGAAGAGATGGACACATATCTTGCTCACTTTGATCCCAAGCAGTGCTAGTTGCAGATTCCTTTAAAAGCAACATCTAGTCCTTTTCATTAAAAGAGAAGGTACCAGAAAAGTACGAGAATCTTTTATGATGAGATGGGTTGCATTGACCAGAGAAGCAGCGCACAGGGTCAAACGTCAGGGATTCGGTATCAGGCAATGTGCAACCTAGTTGTGGTTCTAACTTGCTTGGCTAAGTCCATCTCTTCAGGCCTCAGTTCCCTCAGGTAGAAATGAGAGACTTAGACTAAATTGTCTTTGAGTTCCCATTAATTTTAAATTCTAACTATGAACTCTCCTTGAGCTAAGTAGGCTAAAAATGTTATTCTATGAGAGCCTATCACATTGTGACCTGGCCTGTAATGAATCCTGGTAACTTGGCCTACTGGTAAACCACTACCAACTGGCAGAACGCAAACACATATGCTAAAGCAGAGTATGTGAAAGGGACTTGGCTTGAGGGCTCTTCCCCAGAATCCCCAGCATGAGGTCAGCTCCTGCTTCAAGCTGGAGAGACAATGGACTGACAGTGGAGTTCAGGGGAAAGGGACATCTTTGGATACTAGAACTACTGTAAAGGACAAGGCCCAGCAGTGAGGCTGGGATTTGCCAGGGCACTTACTTGAAGGGCGCCTCAGCCACAGCCTTTGTGAACGTGCACGCAAAGTCGGCCAGCTCTTTCCAGCTCTGCACAACTCGGGCCTGGGTGTGCGTGTGTAGCTGCAGATCCACCAATGCCTAAACCCAAAGGCAGACGGACTGGAATGGCGGCGAGACTAGTCAGAAGTTATTCTCCCCTCCTTGTCCACTGAGGCTGCACCCCAGCCCCCTGGCTCCTGTTTGGTCCCTTCTCTCCTACCCAGTACCAAGGCAGAGAGTGCTGGCCAGCAGGCATTCCCTCTCTCTCAATAGCAAATTGGGTTAGATCAGAGTGGGTGCCCAGCCTGACTCAGGCAACAAGATGTTCTCACCTTCTCCACGTCTACCCTGGACACCATGGGCTCTGTTTTGGCCTCTGGTGGTTTATTTTTCTTCTTCTTGGCCTGTTCTCTGTTTGCCACTTCCTGCTTCCTTCTCCTTGGAGGATTTGGAGCACTGGAGCAGGGAAGGAAATCAAAGCAGAGCGGGGCCTTCAGGCTGAGCTGAAGCAGAACAGGTGCGAGAAGACTGGACCAGAGCATCCCACAGGGCTTGGCAGGGATGCTCTCTGGCAGAGGGACTGAGATCTAGGATGAATAAATTCACCCATGTTGGCCCAAGAGCTGCCCCTTTTGATGCCAAGTCTTGAGGACAAATCCAAACCTGAAGCATTTCTCCGGATCCACAATCACCAATGACAGAGCCTTCCCTGCTGTCCTCGCTGTGATGTCAGTTACAAAGCTCCGAAGTGTTTCCTTCCCTTTCTCAGTGCTGCCTATACTTCCCTGCATAAAGGGGCAGAAACTACATTAATACTTGCTCCCTCGATTAAGCCCTCTGTCCCATGCATCAGTGCCCACCCCTCCAGCTCTGCCCACCTGCTTGAAGTTGTGGATCATGACCACAAACGCCTCTGCCAGGAGTAGCACCAGGACCATTGGCTCCTCCACCCAGCCCTCCTCTCCATCCTGCCAAAGCACCTAGAACCCGGCAGAGGCAGGTGAGTCAGCAGGTGCTCACCACCTGTGAAACCCAGGCCTTCTGGGTGAAGGAACTCACCCCCATCAGCCTAGCTCATGTTGCTTTATTCTTTTTCTTCTGGAATGAAGTCTCGGTGGCAAGAACCAATAACCTATGATCCTGTCCCTCCCCAGTCCTCAACTATTCAGCTTTGGTATATTGCACAATAAAGGAACATTAGCGAGTTGAAGTGGGCCGAGAAAATTATAAGATCAAACAACAGAGCAAAAAATTAATGTTCAAAAAATAATGTAATAATGTTTCATCTGTAGACTCTTGAAAATGCAGAACGGAGTATTTTGGATTTGCAGATGAGAGGAATGGAAGGTACAGGAGCTATAGTAATGTGGGGAGCCCCGGCCTGGAAGGAACATGGACTATGTGCCTGCTTATGTGCTCAGTGCTTGATTATTTCATTCAGTTCCCACAACCAGGGGGAGGAGCGGGGTGTGAACTGAAAGGGACATAACAGTGCCTTCATTTATACAGGAGGCACAAAGTGATGAAATAATTTGCCCAGAGACATAGCAACGAAGCTACTAGGCTGTGATGCAAGCACAAGCCCACCTTTTCCCAAAGCCCACTTAGGAATCCTGTGTAGATTACATTCCCTCTGCCCTACGGATCCACTCTCCACCCTTCCTACCCTGCTCTCTGCCCAAGATCTTTATAGACCACATGACAATGTCCACATGCCCTCTGGCTGGGTATGGCCGGTGGAAAATCCAGCAGGAGATTGGAGGGAAGGAGAAGAGTCAAGTCAGGGTATTTCTTCCCTTGGCTTCTGCCTGATAGGGTCACCTAGGATTTCCTACCCTCCCCTGCTGGAGGTCAAGCTTCTTTCAAGCTGGTCCTCTACAGTTCTCTCCTGGATTCTGGTACCCACTTCCTCCCCTCATCCCTTAAGGCCTAGGCATGGTAAAGGCTATGGCAACCTGGTGGCACCCAGCCAGGGCGATTTTTCCCCTACAAGGAACATTTGCAGTATCTGGAGACATTTTCGATTGTCCTGACTGGGAGAAGTGCCTCTGGCATCCAGTGGGTAGATGCCAGGGAAGCTGCTAAACATTCTACCATGCAAAGGAGAGTTCAGCGCAAAACTATTGCCTGAAATGGCAACAATACCTGAGGTGGAGAAACCATGGGTTAATGCTGCTATTACCCTGAAGTACTGCATTATCCTTTGTAGTTTCCTTGTAACCTGCCCACACCTTGGAAAACAGTCCCCGTATTAAATCCTCAAATTATCCTAAGTTGAGTGTACCATCTGCTTCCCTGCTGGGGCCTTGACTGATGTGTATAAGGGGGAGGGCGGACGGAGAGGAGAGAGGCAGCAGAAAGCCCTACCGCAGCCGGCCCAGCCCGTCTCCTCCAGGTGATGCTGCGCGGCACGGCCTGGGCCTCAATCACACAGCGGCACTCCATGGACTGCAGGGCTCCGAGGAGCTGGCCCCCACCTTCCATCTCCAAAAGCACTGCAATAGACAGGAGAGGGGCTGTCAGTGGGTGGCCCAGGAAGCAGAAAACTCAGCACGGGGTGAAGGCAGACGCTAGGAGGACCTGGATCCAGCACCACAACAAGGTGTTTCAGGCACTCCTCCGGCCTCTGGGCTTTTGGCCTGCTGACCGGTGCTGCCTCCTTTTTCCTTTGCAATTGTGTCAGGGCGTTTTCCTTCTGGCTTGCTTGTCCCCGTGGCTGGCATCCCTTTGAGCCTCTCTTCTGGACCTTCGGACTGTGCTTGGTTCTCTTCTGAGGTGGAAGGACCTCAGCATTTGTTTTTGTTACCGTCAAGTTGTAGCTCTGGAGAGGGCAGGTAGCATGGTATGTTGGAAGCTCGTGGCATGGCATGTCTACCATAGGGTCCTTGTTATTTGATGTCCACCTCTCTGAGGTGGAACAGAGGGGAACATCAGGGATCTTTGGACACAACTGTTTTTTCCAGTCACATGACGCTCCTTCGTTATTTTTATGATCCAAAACACTTTTAACTGGGGAGCTAGAGTCCTCAGGGCTCAGCTGCTTGTGGGTCAAAAACTTACAAGTAAGCCTCTCAGCCAGGGGAATAAGTTCCTCCTCATCCTCACTTCCACTGCTTAGCACCCTGGCTGACTGTGTTTGTGTTACAGTTTCTGCTGCGTCTGGGACAGGCGGTGGATCTTCCAACCTTGGTGATGGAGGACCGGAGGCCTCAGATTCTGAGGTATCAACCACCACAATCTTCTCTTCCCTCTGAGGCTGCTTCCTCGTCGTTGAAGATGGTTCCTTCTTCAGAAAGGCAAATACTGGCAACTCCTCAAAATCAGTCTCACTGGATTCCAGTGAGAGTGACGACTTCTTTCGAGCCATCAATACGTGCTAGCAAATTAATTCTCTAGAAGACAAAGAAAGGTGAGACAAAGACTGTGGCATTCAATCCAGTCCACTAGATGTGTTCTATGGCCAAGCTTTACGAAGATAAATATAATATAGAGAAACACAGAAATAAGACATGTCCCTAACACATTCAACATGGAGCTCAGAACACCTATGCCTACAGTCTCAAATCCTTTCTAGGTCAAGGTGACATATAAACAAAGTGGAGGTTAATAATACAAAATGTTATTGGGGTAGTAACAAGATTCACCTCATCTCCCCATGCTGATCTTTGCGTTTGAAATGGAGATGACAAGTCATCCTTTAAAAAAAAAATGAAATGCTGTAAAATTCATTCTTTTAAAGTGTATAGTACAGTATTTCTTTGTATACTCGCAAGGTTGCGCCACCATCACTGCTAGCTCCCGAAGAGTTTCATCACCCCCAAAAGAAATCCCACAGCCATTAAGCAGTTATCCATTTCTCCTTCCCCTAAGCCCTTGGCAACCACAAATCTATTTTTGCCTGTTCTAGATATTTCATATAAATGGAGTCATACGATATATGGTCTTTTGTGACTGGCTTCCTTTTGCTTAGCAGGCAAGATTCATTTATATTGTAACATGTTTCAGTGTTTCATTGTTTTGTTTTGTTTTTAAGATTTTATTCATTTTTAGAGGGGAAGGGAAGAAGAGAGGGACAGAAACATTGATGTGCCAGATGCACTGATTGGTTGCCTCTTGCATGCCCTCAGCGGGGACCCAGCCCACAACCCAGGCATGTTCCCTAACTGGGAATTAAACTGGTGACCTTTCCATTGGCAGGCCAGCACTCAATCCACTGAGCCACACCAGCCAGGGATTCATTGCTTTTTATGGCTAAATAATATTCCACTGTATTATGACAAACTGTTGTTTATCTTTCATCACCTGATGGACATTTGATTTGTTTCAAACAGGTGTTTCCTAGGTGTTTCATAATAACCATTTTTTGGTTATTATGAATAATGCTGCCATTGCCCTGGCTGATGTGGCTCAGTGGATTGAGTGCCAGCCTGAGAACCAAAGGGTCGCTGGTTCGATTCCCAGTCAGGGCACATGCACTGGTTGCGGGCCAGGTCCTGGGTTGGGAGCATGCAAGAGGCAACCATACATTGATGTTTCTCTCCCTCTCTTCCCCTCTCTCTAAAATTAAATAAATAAAATCTTTTAAAAAATAATGTTGCCATTGGACATTCATGTAAAGGTTTTTGTGCGGACATGTTTTCAATTCCCTTGCAAACGTAGCTAGGCATGCAATTGCTATGTCGTGAGCAAGAGTCATTCTTTCAACAAATACATACTAACACTGGAGGTGTGAGCTAGGATGAGACAAGTAATCTTTCTGGGCCTCGGTTTCTTCTTTAGTAAAAAACAAAAACAAAACAAACAACAGGGATAATGACAATGCCACCTTTATAAAGTTGTGAGAAACAAAGAAACCATGTATCGTCTACAGCGCTTAGTACAGTATCTGGCACACAGTATGAGCTCTGTAAGGTAGGCTCAATGACTAGGGAGGACCCTCATCCCTGTACCCTCGCAGGGCCTCTGCAGACTCCTGCAAAGTGAGGGGGTGGGACAGGCGGGCCCTGCAGGGCACGCTCCTCAGTTCATCCACACCCGTGGCAAAGGCCCAGGCCGTCCAGGCCACCAGGCCCCTGTGGAGCAGTGCTCAGGAGAAAGCCCCGCCTTGCCCGCCCAGCCTTGCCCGCCCAGCCTTGCCCCCCGAGCCTTGCCCGCCGCGTTCGCCCCGGCAGCCGCACCGGTAGACCCAGCTCACCTACAATTTCTCCCGCCACTCTTTCAACTGCCACGCAGGACCCGGAAGTAAATGTTCCGGCAGCGGAAGCCGAAGCAGAAGGTTTTTTGAGACCGGAAGCTAGTGTACGGCAAATATGGCGTCGGCGGCGCTCGCGCTTAGGACGCGGGCAGCTGGTAAAGGGGCGCGTGGCTGTTGCTGGGCGAGTGGTGGTGGTGGTGGTAGAGGTGGCGGGGAGATCTTGCAGGGAGCCTGGGGTGGGGGCCTCTCCCTACGTGGGACCCTGGTGTAGGGTGTGGGGAGGAGTGTGCGGGGCCCAAGAGGTTTGAGGGGCGGCTGTCGCCGGTCACGTGGCATCTGGGGCGCAGAGCTGTGGGTGATGGTTCTAGGCGTGCACACACAGCTCCCCTAGTGATTGGTGACGGGCTTGTCGCTTCCCTTCTCGTTCTGTTTGGACACTTTCATCTATAAAAATGGGTTACTATTATAGGCACACCAGAGCTCAAAACATTAATCCGTTCGCACAACAGATTGAGGTCTTATTTTCTGCCAGACGTTGTGGGGATCTAAGCAAAAGAGAAGACATAGTCTTTTTCCCCAGGACGGTTCTTTCTAGTGGATAACCCAATAAATGAGCACATACATAAAATGGTGCTGCGAAAGCAAGCGTGTGTGCGCGCTCGTGTTTGCCTTTGTGTGTGTCTTTGTTAAGGGTGGGTGGTCAGGAGAGCCCTCTGAGGAGGTAACAACTAAGTTAAGACCAGAAGGATGACAGGAAGCGGAGCTCTGTACGAGAGTGAAGGGCAAATGAGTGACCTCACTCAATTTTAAAGTTTGAGAAGCAAACTCTTGTTCTTACGTGAATCTAAAGAGGGAAGGAATGTAAATGAGGAAACCAGATGGGAAGCTGTAATAGCAGCCCTGATGAGAGATGACTTAGCAATGGTGTTAGTGCCAGTGAACTTGGAGGGAAATGGATGGGTTGAGATCTGTTTTGGAGGTAGAACCTACGAGCTTGCCGGTGAACTGGATATTTGAGGTGAGCAGAGGGAAGGAATCTGCACTGACTCCGTGATTTCTGCTAGGTGGTAGCATCACTTACTTAGAGGAGAGGGCCAAGGAGTAGGGTGAATGGCAAAGATTTGTGAATGAGATAATGTAGATAAAATAAAAGCCCAATTCCTGAGCTTAATATGTGAGCGAGTGAACAAATGAAGAGGTATTTAAATGTAGGTAGACTGTTGTGCTGGGCATTTAATGTGTTGTCTGCTTAAGCCCTTGTCTCTGGTCCTTTGCCCCAGTTAGTCTCTGTGCTCATTAAAACTTCAGAAACTTAGGCTTTGGGAACTCTGAACTGAGAGGCTCCAGACATTCACAAGATTACCCTTACACCTGGCATGGCCCTGATTAACCATGGGTGTGTTTGGGGACCTGTGAGCAAGGACTGCCAGCCCTGGGCTTGTCATATGGCGAAGGACTTCCATCATGGTTAGCATGAATTTTAATTCACTTTCCTTTTTAAAACAAATGCACTTGAGCACTTTGGAATGAGTATAGAGAGGTCAGATTAACAGGGCAGAGTGTCAGTCTTCTTGGTTGGACCTGTGCTTGGTGGGCTTGCTGAAGAAAGGGTCCAGCCTTCTGCAATGGCCGTGATCCTGTAGGAGCCATCCTTGGAGAAGCTGCCCATTTTGTTTACAAGTGTCTGGTGTGCAGTGGATGAGTGGATGGCTAAGGAAGTGGTGGGTGAGGCCAAAGCAGGAATCTCTCTGGGTGTCCTGTTGCTGGGCTCTGTGGTCTGGCCCCTCCCCAGTGCAGGAGCCTTGAGGCCATGATGGTGAGTGAGGCTGAAATAGGCAGCTCTGTGGTGTCCTCTTGCTGCCTTCTGATTCAGTGGTGTTTGTTCCTTCTCAAAAGGGTTCAATGTGTTGAGACCCAGGGCACATATGGCATTTTGGAGGTTTTTTCCCATTAATATTTTACTGCCCCACCCCTCATCCCCTGGCCACACACAGCACAGACACACACCTGCTGCAGTGCTTACACTCTGGACAATACAAGGAATGACTTGTCTCCAGCTGTGGGAGAATGCCAGGGACTTCAGACACTCTCTGAAAACCAGTACAGTCAAGTGGTATTTCGGCTCATGTATCTTCCTCGCCTCCCCTGCCACTGCCTCCTCCCACCTCTCAAACTAGCAAATGGCCCGCTGAGGCAGAGAAAGAGTCTGTCTGAACATTTCTGTTCTCTCTGCAGTTACAGCCCTGCTGAAGCCCCCTCAGGCTGCAGCTCTTGCCGTCAGATATGCATCCAAGAAGACAGGTGGCAGCTCCAAAAACCTCGGTGGAAAGTCACCAGGCAAACGCTTTGGCATCAAGAAAATGGAGGGTGAGGGTGTCCCTTGACCTCAATTTTTCAGCTGTACCCTACCTTGTGCCCCTAGCGTTCCTTCGAAGAGCAGGAAGAGCATGCAAGTGCCTATCCTGGTGCTCTCTGCTTAGCTCACCAGAGCAGTTGGCTGCATATTAGAGTCACAGAAAACCGAGGCAGGGTGGGGGACCTGCAGAAGAGCAGATAATGTGGACTTTGGGCATGTGACTCAAGAGAAGAGGCTGCTGGTTGGGGGACAGGGGTCTGCTTGCCTTGGGCTACCTGGCGGTTGGTTTTTTCTAGGGGCAGGCTTAGAGGTTGGTGTGTAACATTTGGCCCAGGACAGCGTGGGCGCCATCATGTTTCCTTAGCAGTTTGCTGTGCTGTGGACTTCTCTTCTAGGTCACTATGTTCATGCCGGCAACATCCTTGCGACTCAGCGCCACTTTCGCTGGCACCCAGGTGCCCATGTGAGTAATATTGTGCCCCTCCATCCCGCTTTCTTTTCTGGGACCACCTCTCCAAGCTTCTAAGCTCAGTACTACTAATAAAACACTTGCATTTTTGGGGTGCTTAACAAATGCCAAGCATTGTGCTGATTCCTGGGCCTACATTATCTCATTTACTCCTTACCGCTTCCCTGCGAGGTACATAGTTATCTCCATTTTACAGGCAAGATGCCAGAGATTTAGAAAATGGAGGGCCCAACTAGCAAAGCCAGGATGTGAACCTTGTCTGCCTGACTCTCAGATCACTGTTTTGGCTCGGTATAGCCCTGGGTTTCCTTTCTAACCCCTAGTTCTTGAGAAAAAGATGCCTAGTGA